TAAAAAAAAAAAAAAAAAGTTTGAAGCTTTTGAAGCATTAAAAGCCATATGATCGATGATACATCATATCTTCAAATGGCTCTGTAAAAAGCTGATATCTTTCCCCAATTAACATGCAACAGTCTGTTTGATTCTGTAGTACTCAATCCCCTTTTTACTCTACGATATAATATATTCATCCATCAATTATTATTATTTATTTTTTTTTTTCACTTTCTTGATAGCATTTACACATTAGAAGAAGAATTTAATAAACCTCATAACATTATCTTATTCATGAACAATATAGGTGATGTGCAACAATTATTGATTCATCAAGATTTATGCTTCAACCTTCTTGTTTCGAAACATCTCGAGTCATGAATTGGATCAACCTTCACCAAGACCGGCGCCTTAAGTTAGACACCAAAATCGTCGATAATAATATATTGTAATTAAGAGATATCGTGTTAGAAAGTGAACTTGAATCGTCGATAACAATGATCAAGAAGACTAACACCAACAGGGGTTGGCTCAAGTGATAAGCAGTTTGATGTCGCTTAAGCAATGTTTCGGGTTCGAGTCCTTGTGGATGCAGAAAATCATTGTTGGGAGACTCAACCACCATTGTCAGGTACCGAGTTTTCGTACGATACTCTTTTGAAACCTAGGATAAGACACATTTAAATAAAAAAATCAAGTTTTATCCATATATTCCGTAATATTATAAAAAGGGCAATGCTATATGTACACCCCCTTTTAATAAATTACACAAAGAAAAGTGCTATATGTACACCCCTTTTTTACACACAAGGGGGTGTACATATAGACACCCCTATAAAAATCACCAATGAGCATGGGGTAACATAATTCAAAATGGACTACTTTAGATGTCACAACAAAAGGATATCAAACCAATATAAATATAAATTAATCAATCACATTTTATGTTTTATTTTAAAATATTGTAATTTACCAGAATGCCCTCACGCATTTTTAAATGTCATACCCAAAAATTCGAGTTTCTATTAAAAAAAAACAAAATGGAGATAAAAAAATGGGATCTAAATGTTAATAAGATAAAAGGATGAAATCAAGCACTTGTGAGAACGAGCGAACAAAATCAATGTGTCAGCAATATATATCTACATTGAAAAGAGAAAATAGATCCTCGTCTCATTCATTATGTTACTCTATATTCCGAAACACCAGAAGCAGCCACGTAAGCTCAGCAATTCGTGAATTATATAATTAGAACATTTGTTTAAAGTTAGAACATTTGTGTGAGTTGGATTGGATTCTGCAGCTGCAGGTGAATAAGAATTTTGGATAGGAGAAATTAATTTGAGATCTCATATTTGTGTGACTAAATTAAAAAAAAAAAAAAATGATGACACACAACTACTAAATAATAACTAGTGAATCTCTTCTATATACAATTTCCGAATGCGGTGAGGCTAAGTGGTAAACTCACATGTTTCGGAATCCTAGATGTCAAAATTTCATACTTTGTTATTTGGCTTGGATAGATTTTAAATTAATTCCAATCCAAAGCTAATTAGGTTCGGATTACAATAAATATTTTGATTTATTTATGATCATTTTAGATGTATTAATTGTATTTTAGTATCATTTTCTATTATAACTATCGAATTGTAAATGTATTTTTAAAGTTGATAACTTTTGTATTTCTTATCGGTTTTACGTATATAATATATCAAATTAAACATCTTTTGATGAGCTTCAATTTGACATCCATATTGTATATATAAAATAAATATATTATATTTATCTTTACAATAATAAAATAAAATATTTATTATAATTAATTAAAAAATAAATTATTTTTTCAATTAATATATTCATGTTTAATGTTGTTATATGTTATAAGTTATAAAAATCCCCCTATATATTAATCCAGAACGCGTTGAGCCTACGTGGCTGCTTCTGGTGCTTCGGAATCGTATGTGGCAAAATTACATGATTCGTTGTTATTAGGCTTGGGTAAATTTTAATTTAATTCCAAACTAAAAATAATTAAGTTCGGATTGCCATAAATAAGTTGATTATTTATGGTCATGTTACATGTATTAATTGCATCTTAATATCATTCCTTATTATAACTATTGAATTGTATATATATTTTAAAAGTTAATAACTTTTGTATTTTTTATCAGTTTTACATATGTAATATATCAAATTAACCTTTTTTTGATGAGCTTCGATTTAACATCCATATTGTATGTACAAAAATATAATTTATATTTATCTTTATAACAAGAATAAAATTATTTTTAATATTAATTAGAAAAATAAAATTATTTATCAACTAATATATCTATATTTCAAGTAGTTATATGATATAAGTTATAAAAACTAATATAATATAACACATGTAAGTCATAAGTAACACATATCATTCTAAAATATGTAGTAATATATTTTTTTTTTAAAAAAAAAAGTAAACTAAATTTAATTTTAGTTTTCTCATTAATTTTAAAATTTAAGAATAATTTTTTAACAAGCACCCGTGTAATACACGGGTGTTGTACTAGTTATTATAATATAACAAATGTAAGTCGCATAAGTAACAAGTGTCATACTAAAATATAATATATATATATAATTATATATATAATTATATATATATATATATATATAAAGTATTTAAATTTTTCAACTACTTTTTCTCATTAAATTCAAATTTTAAGAAAAATTTTAATAAGCACCCGTGTAATACACGAGCGCTGTACTAGTATTAATAATAAAAGGTGATAATTATATATGATTTTTTTTTACTAATACTAGTTGTTATTGATTATTTTAATTGAAAAAAAAAAAAATGCAATATTATTATTAATATTAAACATTTAAAATGTGGCACTTGTTAGCTGCCTAACATTAGATAACCATAATTTCTTAATTACAAAAAAATGTATGACTTCATGAATGATTTTATATATTGTATTTTAAAGTATAATTTTTAAATGAAAGTAAGGAATACGATAGTCTGGCGATCACACAGGCTAGCAAAATAACCACTCTTTTAAAAAATATGCACTTTACAAACCTAAAAACTTAAAAAGCACTCATATTTTTGAAATAGTTATCAATTTATATTTTATAATATGGTTAAAAAAAAATATGGTTACCAAAATGACAACTAATGATACATAAAAATATGGAAATTTTGAAAATTCCATGCAATAAGCTGGAGCACATCATTGTTGAAGTCATTTTCCTCCGCCAAACCTTTAATAGCACACCAATGGAGAATTAACAATGGTGAGACAT